CTCGATTTTCAAGGCCACGTAATGTGGTTCCTTCCATAAATGCCTTTGTGTACAGTTTCAACAAATCCGATATAATTGTGTTTGTTTAACGACATTGATTGCCCGAAGTTCAAAAATTACGCACATATGACATCGAAAAAAAATGTTCTTCTGTGGGGAGATTAGTAGCGTCGTTAGTTTCGGATTTTTTTTCATTTAGAAGTCACAGAGGGTCCATATAAATAGATCCCACAGGAGGTTTCTGTGAAGCTTCTACTTTAGAGCACACAATGTGTGAATTGACAGATATATTCCATGATATTGGTATAGTCTTTTGCTGTAAAGTAGCGATTAGAATTTGTCTTCCAAGTTTATATCGCTAGAGCTGGTCGAGTCTCGGCGTCTTCTGAAGCCAGGAATAGCGACAAGACGAGTTTGCCGGGGAGTAGGTATGGACGACGTGTACGTATTCGTCGTGGAAGGCGATGATGACCGTTGTCAGCGTATAGGAGACTCCTCTGTACTGCTGGAAATTTGTTTTCGGCAAAGTACTCAGTACACTTCTCCACTAATCCATCAGGCACCAATACTCAAGATCTGTGCCTAAGCCATCCACCCTACAAATATCCAATACTTGCAGATATTCTATATATATAAATTTAAAGACCCGTGTACCATATATATAAATTTTACATAAATTTGTAGATACCTGTGAAAGGTTTCTATAATTTCACTAGTTTCAACACGATAACCATGAGTTGTAGGAAGTTTTTTTGTTCGTTGGTGGCCTCCATTCGTCAGTTTCGTTCATACTTTTATACTTAGTAAAAGTTGCCATGTACAGCATTATAGTCTGATGCGTCAAAATCATTCGGAGTGCCAGTAATAAACTCGAGTTTGTAATTTGACTCTCGTCCTTGTTGATAAACATTAACAAGGACCTAACTCGATCAGTGACACCACTGATGACGATCTACTCATTTTGTCTTGTAGAGCTTCTATTTTTGACAATTATGACTCTTCTGATTTCCAAAAGTGTTCATTATCGCTTGAACTGTTAGAAACAAGTAATTCGTTGTAGGAGTCAATTGTGACTGATATATCGTACAGCAGTATGATGCGGTTATTATGTAAGCTTTGATTAAAGTAATGTGAAGCAGGCATATTTATATGCGACAGTTACGTGTACTGTGTGTGAACTGGGTGTTTGTTTGATAGAAAATTTTCATTCTCTATTTGATGACAACAAAGACATAATTTCACATGGTTAGAGAGATAAAATGAACACCATTATATCGCAAATCTTGTTTAAGGGGTTACATACCTTTGTTTTTCTTAAAATATCATACATTTTTTATTGATTTATGTTAAAGTACGACTCGTCATCACCATTTTCTCGAATTTTTATAAAGATCTGAGCAATAGATGAAAAGTTGGATAGTTTTAAAGCGCGAGTTGTAATGTTCAAATATACGAGTTTTGAAATTTTAAACACGATTTTCTCGGAATTTTGAATTTCAAAAAGTGCTTTTATCGTGATCGCGATTGCCGAAGAACTATTCTCCATAAATTGGTACGTTGAAAATAAAAATTTTTAAATGAATATTTTAAGGATAAAAAATCGAATTTACATGAAAAACGTTTCCATTTGCAGAAAAAAAACAAAATATTTATCTAACTAGTCGTTCACGCACTAGCGACGTCCCATTCCGAATGAAATTCGATGGGATTTATAATTTCAGTTGACCTGCTGGATTGCTATCGTGATCACCGCAAGCCTCTTTGAAAAAAAAGGGATTCCAGGAAAATGGGCACAACTCCAATTGTTGATAATTTTCCAAAATCTTACGCTTGTTTTCTTTGTTGAAAAATGTACTATCAAAAAATAAAAACTTCAATGTAATAGAATTATTGCTGCATACCAAAAAAAAAATCCAAAATTTTTGAAATTTTTCCGCACAAAAAGATATATAACCCCTTAATTGAATTTATCAAAATTCAATATTTACGAATTAATTTAATAATAATTTATGATATTTGTTTAAATTAAGAAAATTTTTCATTTTACCCCATAGTTAGAACAAAATGAAATTATAATCAAAACACCACACTTTAACTTCAAAAAGTTTATATTATACCAACTAATTATTTTTAAATTTATTTTTATTATTAAAAAGAAATTTAACACTGAATTAAGTTATTTAAAATATTTATACTTATATTGAATTCAGCAAAATTATTATTTGAAATATAATTTATTATTTGATAAAATTCGTAATTCTGGTAACAATTTTTACTTTGCTCTTTCTTTTACTTTGCAGCTTTTATCTATTTTATATTACTCATATTGTGACATATTGTATCTTCTTCCTTACTATAGTTCTGTAGTTTAACTTATGATGAATTTGTATTAGAATAATTATTTAAATCACTTATAATACACGCTTATATAATAAACTATTTTTCTTATTTAACTTCTAATAAACCTAAATTACTTACTCTCCTCTCTACACCGTGGAACGTGGTTTGCTGCCAAGGTATGTCAAGTAAGTGTAGTTTTAATACACTAACTACACTAATCAAGTAATAACTATAAACAAAGTACTTTTATTTATTATATCTTTACAGATGATGCATTATCATTCTTCTTTATTAATACCATCTCCATCAACTTTATTTTTAGTTATTTGACTTACCTTCTTTCTACGATTGACCTAATGCCATACGCGACTAATATGCAGAATACTATTGAAGGCATGCACTGAAAAAAATGTGAAGTTTGTATTTAACAAACCCGTTTTGTTAAATGTCAAATTGTAACAGTTACCGAAAAGCTGTCATATTTATCAATTTGTATGCTTAAAGGAACTAATTGATTTGCTGATACTTGTAAAGAACTCGTTTAGCCACCACAAAACCTACATGTTCGACGTCGGCAGAAACGGTAGAACAGTTAATGCCAAACTCTAAAAGACATAAAAAAAGGTTAATAAATTTAGATATTCTAAACACAAATTTTATTGCATGCGCAATGGTTGATTATTTATTATTAGTTAATTTTTTAAAGAAATACTGTGTTTTTATAGAGATTAACCTTAATGATTTGATATTCGAAAATTTTTTAAAAGTAATAATAGTGTAGAATGAAAAGAGAAATAAAATACAATTGAAATACGAATATTTTGAATGGATGTTATGTGTGATGATGCTGGTTATGGGTTATGTTTTGGTTAATAATTATAACTTCATATAGATTTGTTTAATTAAGATAATTCTAAAAAAATAATTTAAATATAGTATAAACAAGAGGGGGTAAATGTAAACTGGTAATGAATTTATCCAGAGTAAATAAAAAATGTATAGATATAAATCATCACCATAAATAATTTCATTATCATAGTATATTCGCTCGCGATAATTATATTAAAAAGCTAAATAATAATCACAACTTTTTTTTTTTTAATTTTTTAGTTTTCAGTATTATTTATTATGTAAGATATATTTTTATGTTATAAAAATAATGAGCATATCAAGAACAGTTAACATATTAAGTAATTAAGAGTTTTTCATTCTTTAAGCATTAAGTATAATTTAAAATGGACAAAAGATATGACATCTATTAATCTGATTGAATTTTTTAAGAACATTTCTTTTTATTTCTTAAATTTTTTTGTTACAAAATCCGTGGTACTTTTTATTATAGTACAGTAGCAAAATTCACATTAATATTATAGAAAATGATAAAATATAACTATTTATTTTGCGAATTCTGTACATTTTTAAATGTTTATAAAAAAGTAATCCCCTTAGTACGCTTTAGTTTATTATTGAATATATTAGGTGGTATCTATTTTAAATGGCAAGAGATTATAGCAGTAACAATTAGTGTAATGTTCGATATTATTACAAATTATTCATTTTGCTGTTATAAATAATGAATGAGCATAGTATAATCAACTGCATAATTTAATTTATTTCATCAATTATATTGTTAGTTAAACTCTTTTATCCAGAAAATAAACTACCAAGAGTAATGTATTATACTTGTTGAACATTATTTAGCGAAAATTTAAGTTACAAAGTGTTCTAGTAGTTGGGCGAAATATTTTTAGCAAATAAGAGTATAATTAAACTATAAAATTGTACAAACATAATCATTTATTAATAATATTATTTTGACTGTGACAAAAAAAATTAAAAACAAAGGTTGCTTTAGAAAACATTTAGGTCAACACATACAATTCAGACAATACATTTAAATTAAAATTATGATTTCAATAATAAACCTAAATGATAATTTATTTATTTTTTTAAATTTTAAACAAATTAGAAAAAAAATGGATAGTAAAATTTTATTTCTCATTTAAATATAAAATATGACTATTAAAATTATTTACTAAATTTAATTAGAGAAGTAATTATATAAAAACTACTAAATTTTGAATAAAATTATTTTGAAATTATGATTATCTTAAACATATATTACATTTTTTTTTTTGTTTATTTAAAAGACACACTAATGTAAAATATCTTAGAAATATTATGACCAAATTAAAACTATGTAAACAAAAGGAAACAATTTTTTTTTTTAACTTATGTTTATAAATATAACTAAACCTAGTCAAAGGTTAAATAAAAAAAAAATACAATAAATTAATGCAGAATATTTTATAATACACATATCAAAATAAAAAAATAAAATGAAATCTTTGCAAATATGTTCTCCTTACGCTACCGAGGAACTACCCGACATTTAAGATAATTCATATTTAATACTTCATCCAGGGTAAAACTTTATTCTATATAATAAATTTACCATATAATTTGATAAATATATCATTACTATTGAACCTATTTATCAATATGATAGAGAAATGTTGTAGTGGTTTGTTCATCTTAGTAACATATATTATTAAATTAATAATATCTAAAATTTAATAATATTAAAAGGTAAATATATAATGTAGTTAGAAAAAAAAATCTGTATTGATCCATACATTTTTCAAAAAATTATAGCAATTTAAAGTTGAAATATAAAATCGAAAATTTTAACAAAATAATAGCAGTTTTAAGCTACGGCAGTCCATTTGTACGTAGAAGATAAGTCATCGGGACAATTTTTTTTTTTTATTTATAGTACGTAACATAAGCTTTAATTTAACATATGATTTAAGGACGCAGTATTTCCGGAACATTTTCAAAAGTTAAGTAGAAAATGTTAGCTTTTATAAAAAAGTTTGATTCCTCTCTTGTGAGTAGTAAATAGTCAGATTTACAAAAATATTATACAAAATAAAAGCAAAATACCTAAGGATTCTATTAAAAAAAATGATGTTGATTTGTAAGTTTTTGAAAATAATGTGTAGTTTTAAGAAAAAGAAAGTGAAAAAAAGACGAAATTTACCGATTTTTAAATTGTAATTTTTTTGGAGATTTCCTCCATTTACGGGGAACGAGGGAAATTTTTCCAATTTTTGAGGGTAATATCTTTGTTGAAAGAAATCGATTCGGTGAGAGCTGAAAAAAAGTGGTAATAGACATAAAAAAAAATAAACACATTATGGTAAAAGCAACACCTTTTTAGCTTCGTATTGAAGCTAAGACCTATGGGACCAAATCCTAGAGAGTACGAATTTTGAATAGAGTTTCGTCGATTTTGAAAGTACCTTTAGTTATTTAATTCATTTTGTATTTTAAATAAGGGAACTCTGTTTTTTTGATCTTGTATATTCATAATTTGTGACACACATGTACAAACGATAATATATTATAATTTTTTCTAAAAAATAATATATACATTATATTTGAACTTTATTATTGACACGGTAAACATGACGTACTCTAAGATCAACGTTTAGTCAAATGTAAAAATTTGTAGTTTACTTTATATTTTGTCACAAGTTTTATTTTTGTATTTGTTCTTATAGTTTTTTTGTTTAGTCAATAGCATAAAAAATTATTTAAATATCCATTTTTTTTAATGGGTTAACTCCAATGTCTATTAAGGAGAGAAATTAATTATTGAATAAATTAATATTTTTAATTCTACCAAAAGAGACGTAATATTAATATAGAATTTTAAAGACAACATTACGAGAGATAAAAATAAAAAATTAATCAACTTTCTATATTATATTTTTTCAGATTTTGGTATACATATTAAATTATTTTACAACATTTTTAGTTTAAGTAAAACAAACATTATTATTATTATTACAGTAATAAAAAGAAAATTTTATTTTAAATAATTTTATTCTTCATAGTATTTTTGATTATTATTATTATGCGTAAATAATTAAAAATCAAATATTATATTAAATACTTGTGAAATATTTTTTCGAAAAAATCTGATTTTTTTATAATTTTCTTAATTTTAATTGGAAAGATTAGCTTAACAAAACATTTTATTTTAGATAGGATATTATAAATATTCAGTTTTCACTTAGTAAAAGTCATTGAGGCACCCATATCTTTTAACAATATAATATATAAATTATATAACATTTAATTTACTGAGTAAGAAATCTTTCAAGTATTCAAAAATTTCTTTTTGAAAACGAAAATCATATAGCGTCAATAATAAATTTAAACTTGATCAAGGTGTGAAGTTTGTAATTTAACCAGGGGCTTAGTTATAGATTATCTATGTTATATTTTGAATACATAACACACGCGTCATTTTTAATATAATTTGATTACAAGCAATGCACTCTTGTGATAGAAGGTATGAATACCAAAATCCGAAATAATATTTTCTTGGTATATCAAACATAATTAAATAATTCCTTTTAGGTGTTCACATTTTACAATTGAGTCCCTTGAAACATAGAAATTTCAATATATATTATTATTTAGTTATCTAAGCGATTAAAAAAATTTCCCAAACATCTAAATATTATCTCCAATGAAAATTGTTTTTCATATTTTAAAAGTTTAATTGTATTCATCATTTTAATGTCGAGTTAAAAGTATAAAATGGCAACTCTAGAAATTTGATAAATAAAATGTAATATTTCTTATATTTTTAATTATTTAATAGTTTGAAACTAAAAACATTCATTCAATTATGCAAATAAACTTATATTTCATAATACATGCATTAATAATAAATATAAAGTATAAAATATTACATTAAACTTTTTTACAAAATTTTTAGTCTAATCAAAGTAATCAAAAACATTAAACTTGTCACGCACAAATATCAATACAATGTTGAACATTTCAAATCTATTCTTGTCTACAATTTTTATACAATGTTTTTACATCGATAAAATTCAATCAGATAAGTTGTTGTTTGAAAACGAACAATATTTGGAAAAAGAAATGATAAAAGGAGTGTGGAGAAACATCAGGACTGATGGCTCTACAATTGGTACTTCATATAAGGATATTCAGACATGGAAAAATGATAACGTAACAGAAGATGTATGGATGACGTGGCTTTATCCTCACTATAAAGATGCCATGGTGTACCGATCATTGAAATATGTATATGTATTGGCCCATTATGGTAGTATGGTTGTAGAACCAATAAATTATGATAAAACTATTACAAAATTTAGTACCGCGGTATATACTATAAGTAATTTTTTTGAGTTTATTCTTTTAAAAAATGAAGTCCTAGAAAACATCAGAAATATTTCAGAAAATTTCAAATATTTACCGAAAAAAGAAAATTCCTTTCCACATTTTGGAATAGTAACACTTTTTAGTGAAATAATAAAAATCATAGATATTTTTTTTGAAGGTGAAAAATTGATACAACGTATTAATAATGGGCGTTCTCTTGTACTCTTAGGAGGAAGCAATTGGGATACGTACGAATCTATAATAAGTCAAAACTTAATAGATAACAAATATTATCCTCCAACAGAAATTAAAGACAAAAATGAGGAAATAATTGAAGCTATTAACATTCTCATTACTAACGTAGTAAAAGAATATAAAATATTTCTTCATGCCAATGAAATTAACAAAGAAAAATCTATAATAAAAAATTTTATTGTATGAGTTTTTTTTTTAATTTAAAGTCTAAAATCTAATTTACAATACAATTCCATAGATTTTTAAACAATTATCCTGTAAATGCAAACACTTTTTTTTAGCTAAAAGTATATCAATAAATAGTATTTGATTTATGAGTATAATTTTAGAATTAATATTTATTATAGCAATTAATTATAGTATGAAATTGATATTTAATAATTTAGTATTGTAATTTTTACTGAGAAATTATATAGTAGTACTCTTATGGCAAACGTGTATAAAAATTGAAGGGCTTGTTACAAATGTAATACATTATATGAATGTAATAATTCCTGAGATATTCATAATTTGTTATAACATCAAGTATTTCATTTATTTGATGATCTTGTGAATAAAGTAGTACTAGTACTAATGAAATTTTGAGTAATAATGCTGTTTCTGTTATTGGAAATGTGTTATTATTGTTTATAAAAGCAAAAAGAAATCTTTGTATGTTTTGAGTTTTTTATATATTAATATCGAGATGTACTTCCTACTTCCTACTACGAGGGTTACTTCCCAAAGAATAAGAGTTATGATATTAAAAAAGTGATATTTGCACTTAATGATGTTATTGCGATAATTATTGATTATTTGTTTAAAAACAAACTTAACTACAGTAATTAATTCCTTTTTTGTTGGGTTGTTCATTAATATTGGACTAGGTTCCGTCTAGCTGGTGCTCCGCCCCAGACCCAAGGCCCTACGAGCCTTACGCGCTTCCGCGCGTAAGCCTCTTCGGGCCGTCATCATAAGTAGGCCATTGATTCCGGTAGGGGTACCCGGCTACGCCGAATACGATAAGTNAAGTAGGCCATTGATTCCGGTAGGGGTACCCGGCTACGCCGAATACGATAAGTGTTTTGCAGAAAAAATATTACATCACAATCAGTATAACAAAAATATATTAAAACTGTTATTATTAAAATTAGGAAAATTCAAAAAGAGAATACAGTAAAATGTATTGGGTATAGGTTGACGTTTGTTACTGAGGTATTCCTTTTAGGCGTATTCAAAAATTATTTTAGGAGGATATTTTATATTTTTTTACTTTGTTAAACATACTATAGAATTTTTTTTGCTAAAAAACAAAGTGATGATCAAAAAAAGGACATTAGGTCCTTATTTCATAGAAATTGCCTAAAAATATATTGATAGCGCTGGTTCAAGAGGGCCCATATCTCTTTTAAATACACCCCGGGTATACACACAAATTATTAATATTCTAATTATAATAATCATGTTTATATTATAGAATACGTAGGACTATGTAAAAAATTTAATTTTGATAAAAATATTGGTAACTGTGATATAACGTTGGACCGCATAGTTACTATAGTTACTATAGTTCAATAGTTTAACTTAAGATTAATTCATGTTTGAATAATTATCTAAATTAATTACAATATATGCTTATATAACAAACTATTTTTCTTCTTATTTAATATCTAATAAGTCTAAATCCCTTTTTCTCCTCTCTACTCCGTAGAACAAGATTTTTGCGGCCAGGATATATCAGGTAAGAGTAGTTTTAACACACAAACTACAATTAATAGTAATAACTAGAAACAAAGTACTTTCATTTATGATGTCAGTAGGGTAATATTGGGAATTCTAGCCCCCCCCGCCTCACCCCTTCACCTACCCACCCTATGGTGGGTGGGCGTGGTCGGGGGAGGGGCGTG